CTAAAATGTTATTATCCTTTCCTTAATTTTTCATTAATTAATTTTAGTAATATTTATGTCTTATAGGAGAAATCAAGTAGTACAAATTAAACCTGTAATCCAAACACAAATGATAATTTTATTGTTGAAATTGTGAATATTCAATTTAAATTCAATATATACATATATTTAAACGATTTACTACAATAATGCAGTTAATAAAAAGGAGACGTACCTTAAGACTTCGGAAGTCATTTATATGATCATTACGTCCATGAAAATGTTTTGTTAGCTAGGTATGCTTTCATTTTACGTACATACATATATGTATGTACATACATACATATGTACATACATATTTTGATTATACTAAATGTTTATTTCGTTTGATTTTTTTGATAAACAAATTTACAAAATTTCAATTCTTTTTTATGTTTTTGAATTTAAGCAATTTAATAATTTCAAAAAACAAATTCTGAATTTTGCACACTCATACTTTTAAATTATAAATTTTCACAATTTCAAAAAGCACTTTTCTATGCTAAATTTTAAATTATAGTTTAATAATTTTAAGGTACTCACTTCGAACCGTTTAAAAAACCAATTAGAAATTACAACGCTTTCACTATTTATTAAAATTTTTATTTTATCCCGTTAATGTTAATATTGCTGATATTAAAATATTCAAACAAAATGACGCTTCTATTTCATAAAGATCGTTAAACATGTTAAAACAAGTTTTTTTTAACATTAGAAAGAGAAAAAAAATATTTAAAATGGAATCGAAATTATTATTGAGTACCCATTTTGAGTATTGAAAACTTGAGAGCAAAAATCACATAACAGCCAATTTTATAATTTTGGATGCGAGAGTCATGCAAAAATAATTAGGGATCGCGAAAAAGGATTTAAATGATTCATAGGCACTATTATTGCAACAAACTGCAAAATTTAATCATATATAGTAAAAATACATACAATTTCAATTTAAAAAGAAAAAATCTACATCAAAAAATCAAAATTTGTGCCCGAAAATGCAATATCACTATATTAACTTTCAGGTTTAAATACGGTTAAAAGGCGGTTTCAAAACTTTGCTTTTAACAATACAGAATACGGGCTTATTAATTGAGCTGGACCGCGATTTTTTATATCTATTATATGATTTTTTACTTAAAAAGCTCTTCCATTTAAGTGTGAAGTCATCTAGTTTTTAATTATCATAGCCACTTAGAACTACACACATAGGCATTGAAATTTTTTTTATAAAAAAAAATAAAAAAAACGAGGGAAAATATATGAGAAAATGACACCCGCACGAATTTGTTATCTTTTGTGTTAAATATACTACAGCTGACTATGCGTCAGACTATGACTTTAAGTCGGCGCATTGCCATGTTAATTTATGCAAAAATCGGTACTGTGTTTCTCTAAGATATGACCAAACTACTATTGAAACTGTAGGGGAGCTACTACAAGGAGTCAAGAAATTTCAACGATTTTTATTATACATAACAGCCCTAATAATACACTTGTATTTACGAGATTTCTTTATTATAGCTCCAATAATTTCTGAGATAATGCCAAACAATTAAATTTAATTTTTTGTTTTCACAAAACTTCTATATTATAACTTCTATGATTTCTGAGATAAAGCCAAATATTTTTTGAAGTTGTATGGCAGGTTTCACAAATACTCATGAGATTTCAATAATTTTTAATGAATACAGGTGCCATTTTATCAAATATTATTTTGCAAAGTTTCAGCACCGTGGGTTAAATAGTTTTTTAGATATAGAAAAATAAATTTTGAAGTTGTATGGCAGTTACCCAAACCAGTATTCCGATCATATTGAATTTAAATGGGGTTCTGGCATTTACTATAATAAAACATTTGTGAAAATTTGGTAAATTTAGCACAATTAGGTTTTGAATTGTCGCTGGAGCGGACCGACGGTCGAAATGACAGATAAAGCTAAATCGACTCAGAATTCGACACTGATCAAAAACATACTTAAATCTGTATTTCAAATCATTATTTTTTAGTGTTACAAACGAAGTAAAGCAAATGTAGTATACTCTTATACAAAAATAAGAAGACGTAAGAGGAAAATAGAAGTGAAAAGTACAGTGAAAAGGTGAATTCATTGGTTCGCCTTGACGTGCACCGAAGAAATGCGCGCGTACATATTTTGCATGAAAATTTCAATTTCTCTTATTTTTCAGATTTTCTGCGCAGCTTTTTTTCTCTTTCTGAAAAAATACGGCATTATATTTTGAAATTTTCAAATCAAGTAAAGTGTTGGGATAATAACATTTTTAATGCCAAAAGTGGCAAAATAAATTTTAGTTCTGCATTTTTAGTTATGGGTTTTTGGCATTATTGCATTGAAAGATCTTTGAAAAAAAAGCCCAAAAATTAAAAAAAATTTTATAGACATCTACTTTATTCAACTGTTTCGAATTTTGTAAAATTAATTATTTGTCACTTTGAATATGAAAACTTAAAGGATGGTTTCATTTATTTATATATCTATAGGTAAATTAAATCTGAATAAAATACAAATTGTTTGTTTTTTAACTAAAATCTTTTTAACTACCAAGTTTATGAAATTTGGCATAAAATGACATTGTATTTTGCATAATTTAGTAAAATTTACTCGACCAAGTATTCTAACATTTTAAATCGGCTTTAAGCTGCTTATTAACGCAGTATATAATAGGTCTGTTTAGTATAGACAGCTAAAAGCTTTTAAAACATTAAAACATTAAATTTTACTTCATAAAACTTGAAATAATGTCTTTATATCTAACAAGTCCCAATACTCAATTTTTTTAACGAAGTATTCTGATTTGCTGCCAAAATTCTTTTAGCATAATCTTTTAAAATTCAACGCAGAAGTAAAATTTATTATGCCAATTGTCGCATTGAAAATGCTAATATCCCAACACTGTACTTGACTTGAAAATTTCAGTGTATAAACCACGGCTGACAGAAATATAGGCCTGCACCCTAGGAGAGAATGACAGTTCACAGCTGACGAATTTACATATATTCTTATGGGAGCTGTAGACTATCCTTTTTTCAAAGCAATAAGTTTGTTTTTGCGCATTTTTTCATAAGATTACATTGTATTGGACAATTTAAGGAACATTCTTAATGTAGACTTTGTACGACAAATTGATTTATGTACAGTAATGTTGTGTAGACGGTTAAAACAATCAGCAATATTGTTCCAGTGACGCGCCTACTATAATTGCTGTAATTGGAGTACAATTATTTTAATTGAAGTACAATTATTTAAGGTAGAAAATTCTAACGGAAAATTTGTTTTAAATAATGACTGCACTAATATTAAGATCTGTGTTTTTTCAAAAAATAATTTCAACATAATCAACTCAGTAATTTACTCAACAGAGTTTTGACAGCCAGAATTATCAACTCTTAAATTTATTTTACTTGTTTAATTTTTTTTAGCCTAATAATAAACTGTTAAAAACGTTAATGCTATAAGTCTATCAAATTTAAAAAATAATTTTTTTACAATTTTTATAAAATAAAGATAAAAAACTTTTTATACAATGAAAACTCTTCTACTTAATTCAATATTTATTTGATAACTATATTTGCTACGAGATTTTTTAAGGATTTTTTTTTTAATATATAAGAAAATTTTTTTAAATAAAGCAAATCAAAATTTAAAAAAAATTATGTAAACCAAAACAAAAATTTAACAAAGCAGAAAAATTATGATGCAAAATATTTTGAAAGCAAAATCACCATCAAAACATCATACACAACCACAACAACCAGATTCATCAGAAGCAAAAGATCCAAAACAATCAAATTTTCATCATAATTATTTACAAAATAACAATCTGAATACTGAACTACAATTTCATAAAATTGATACAACAAAAATATCATGTATTAAAAATGATAACAATTTACCGAAAACATTATATACACAAAAATCAACAACAATATTACCGTCATCATCAACATCGTCTTCACCATCATCATCTTTATCGTCAGCATTATTGCCAATTGTAACAGGAGCAACAACATCATTAATAACATCATCGTCAACAACAACAACATCAATAAATACAACGGGTATTATTAATAATAAGCCAACAGTGCCAGCTAAACCTAGAAATATACCACCAATTAATACAATCAATAATTCAAATAATAATCATCATCATCAAAAAATAATTGCTAATAGTAATAATCAGCAACAGCAACAGCAACAAAATTTTAATAATAAATTTAATAATATTAATAACAAAATACATATATCTAAAAATTTATCTAATATTAAAAATAGATCATCATTATCAATTGATAGTAATAATGATGATATTAATGTAATATTAACAACAACTTCAATAGCAGTATCAGTGACAGCAACAATAACAACAACAAATAATATAATATTAGAAGATACAACAAAATTAACATCATCATTATCAACTTTACCGATAGCAGCAACAACGATATCATCATTATCATCGTCATCGTCATCTTTATCCCCATCATCATCAAAAATATTACGGAATAAATTAAAGACTGTTTCAGTTAATTTTGATAATACTATTAATGATGATATTTATCATAATATTTATAGCGATAAATGTAATAAAAAAAATAATTCTAATCATATAAATTTATTAAATAAAAATCGTATTTTATTAAATGAAAATGAAGATTCTACTAGTAATATAATATCGAAAAATATTGGAATTACAACAACAACATCTTCATCATCAAATAATCTTTCTAATAATATAGGAAATAATTTATATAATAATATAGGAACATCATCATCATCTACAACAAATTTAGGGCAACAGCAACAACAAAATCATTTAAAAAATTCTAATCACGATGATTATAATTTTGATAATGTTAATTTAAATAATAAAAAATTTAATAATATCAATGATATTAATATTGATATTGATTACAAAAATTTAAAAATAATTGATAATAATAGCAAATTATTTATACATAATAATTATAATAATTCAAATAATAAACAATTAATAAATGATAAATTAAATATAGATAACAATATGGATTGTAATATTACAACAAATCCATTTCGTTCTTTAGATATTGATTCAAAATTTAATAATAAAAACTCAAATATATTTCATAATAATAATAAAAATTCAAGCATATCATTATCATCAATTTCTTTGTCACAACAACCATCATCAGCATCAACATCGGGAGCGTCATCATCATCTTTACTAAAAAAATCTAAAAATAATAATGAGTAAGTAAACAAAAAATAAATATCAGCCTGATCGTATACATATCTCGCCTTTTTACTCACTTTTTACTTACTTTCAAATCGGAATTCTAAATATTTTGTAATGGATGTTTTACTATTCCAATAAGATTATTTATTTTTTTAACTAGATTTTTGCATTTTTTTCAAATTATCGACTCAATGCTTCACTTTCAAAAACAAAGTGAAACACTTTTGCATGCAATTAAATAAAAAACGAGATACGAAATCGGAATAATTCTTCTCACTCGAAAATTACATTATACAAGTGTATGACAGTTACTCAATTTCCGAGTAAAATAGCGAGATAAACGATCAGGTCCTATGTGTACATATTATGTATTATATATAAATATACATTACAAATATATATTTACATGTATTTTATATATTTTTTATTTCATTAGCATAAATAAATTTAACATTTACTACATCATCGAAATCCAGTTTACTTTACCCAACATATGTATAATTTATATATGTTTTTCTACCACATTTCAAAATTATTCGCATGCCATCATTCTGCAATAATTGAAAACTGTTTTTTTAACTTACTTCATAAAAAAAGCAGTGAGGGACATAAAATTATTCAAAATAAGGCAAAAATAAATTGTTAATTCACCTTCCAAAGTTAACTTGTTTCAAATTCTATCAATAAATAAGTGACATTTTTATAACTAAAAATAAAATACTATTATAATCTTCTCAAAGCATACCCACTTTTTTTTTAATTATTTCATTTTTTCATTTACATATTTAGTTTGAAAAAACATAAAAAATGTCGAAACATAAAAATTATTAATGATCCAATTTTATCAAAGAATTCTAATCAATATCTACATCAAAGTCATAATTGCAGCACATCGATTCAACAATTGGCAGGTACATCAACAACAACAACATCGTCATCATCAATATTTGATCAAAATTTTTATAATAAAATATCAAATATTTATCAGGAAAATAGTATACAATCATTGTCATCTTTATCACCAGCGTTAGCAACAACAACAACAGAAAATACATTTTTATCACAAGAATCTTCACCCCCAATGAAAACATCAACAATTTCCATAGCACCATCATCATTATCTTCTTCATCAACATCATCATCATCATTAGCAGCAGCTTCAGAACTAATTAATTTATCAAAAAAACTGTATGGTAGTACTATCGAAAATGATAACACAACAAATTATAAATGTGATTATTTAGAATATAATAAAGAATCATTATTATTAACATCATTACCAACAACATCATCAATTACATTAAAACCCTTACAATTAGATGAAAAATGTTATGAACAAATAACAAACCCATATAATAAACATATAAGATGTAATAGTACAAGTAATGAAATAACAAATAATACTACTACTGATTCAATAAAAACTCAATTGTTATTATCATCATCATCATCGCTATTATCATCATCACCATTTAATCTTACGGATATGAATAAAACAACAATAACTATTGCTACAACTGCTTCTACATTAAATACAACAACAATACAACAAAATTTATCAAAAATTAATTGTACAACAAAATCACCATTAACAAAAACAAAAATGATGGAATTTCACGCTAGAATACAATTATTAGAAAATGCAATGAATTTTCGTGATCATACGCAAACAATAACGACAACAGCAGCACCAGTAACAGTTACACCAAATCAACAACAACAAACAACAATAAATGGAGCTGCAACAACTACAATACAAACATCACCCAAAAAAATTACACCACAAAAATTAAATTTTTATCAAACTAAAAAAGAAATTGAACAAATGTTAGGACAACGTTTTAATTTAAATGATCATCAATCTTACAATCATAACAATACAGTACCATTATCATCATCATCAACAACAGTAACAACTACAACAACAACAACAGCAACAGGAACAATCGGTATAACAACAAAATTTACAAATAATAATCAAACAACAAAACGTAGATTAACAAATTTAATAAATACTTCATCTTTAGATTTATCAAAAAATAATTCAATGAATACAATATATAATAATTCTAATATAAATGATAACAGCAATATTATTTCATTAACAAATAATACAGGGAATAATGAAACAACTAATAATATTAATAATGCAAGTGATGAAAAGGATCATTTTAAAAATTTATCGAAAGATAAAATTAGTTTACAAAATAAACTTCAAGAAGAGATGAAAAGACAATGCCAAAAAATTCAGGAGAAACATTCAATTGAACGCTACCCACCACAATATCATTATGGTGAAATTCATAATTCAACATTAAATTTTCATGTAAGTTTTTTTATTTTTTTAATTCATTAATTTTTTTCACTATCTCATTGAACTAATATTATATTAATATATAAATATAAAATCTAAGCAGCACATAATGTAACCAATCCCATTGTTTCCTTATAGGATTTTCCCAACTCATTTTTAAACCTAATAGTAAATCTGTCTTACGTACATGTATGTATACATATAGTCTTATTGAAATTTCTAACCTCACTTCTCTTAAGTCACCATTTTTTACCTCAACAAGAATTCATTAGAATTCATCGAAATTCAGTTGATTAAAAAAACTAGAGTTTCGGTGAATTTTAATTTTTTAAATCCAATCAAATTCATATAATAGAAAATTTAATAGCATAAATTTTTATGTAAGCCTAAAGATAAAGTTGAGATAGATCGAAATCATGAAATTTGGTGCGATTAACATAATATATGTACATATCTTCTATCTATTGAGTAAACAAATCTATTGAGTACGCGATCCGATTAAAAAAAAATAACATTTTTATAATTAAAATATTACTAGAATTACTAGTCTACCCCTATAAGCAATTCCATTTTTCATGTTGAATTTACATATATCATCCCAAATGACAAAATATTTACAAGCATTAAAATGACAACTTTTTAAACCTTTCTGAAAAACGTTCGAGCCCCATCTGTTGTCCATTTTAAAAAATATAAAAAATTATGCATACATATACACATATATGTAGTCCGTGTTGTACTATTTTGAAAATGTTACCAATCAGTTCAATCGAAAAAGTGCTACCAAACAGTTTTGTTCATAAAAGATTTTTATCCTATCTACTATAAAGCAAATTAATTACATTAACAATGACAAGAGTACTGTTACTAATCCTATGTTTTGCTTTCATACACAATCTTTCAAGCTATATTTCTTATATTTCATAATATAAGCAATATATAAATATAACATAAGCAATTTTATAAATATTTCAGATAAATTTGAATAATAACAATAAGCCTTGATAATGTAAGCTCTAAAAACAACTTAATTAACACATATGTCATTTTTTGACAACATCAAGGTATAATTTATATGTTAAAATTAATACGATTTGTCAAATAATATTTTTGTTGAAAAATGTGCTCTCTAGACAAAGTATATATATTATATTTTATTACTACAAGTTAACCAATTTAAAATTTAACTTGATCCCTCCCCAAAAAAAAAGTTATTAAATTAAAATCTACTATTTTAAAATACTTTCCTTCACAAAAAAGTGTTTAAACGCATACAAAAATTCTGCAACAGTGGAAGATTTTTTAAGAAAAGTTAAGATTTTTTTAAGAATTTGGCAACTTTTGACTTAAACAAATTGATTTATTTATTTACGCTCTCAACTTTCTACTGAAAAAAAATTACATAAATATTTTAGCTGTCACTTTTCTACACATTTTTTTTACTATTTTTCCCAATGTATGTATGTAGTTATTATTTTTGGTGAATACATTCGCTAAGCAAAAAAAAATTCATGGCAAAACAGGGATGGAAAATGTGATACTATTGTACCAAATGTGATGTTTTCAGAGGTACATTGGTACGGTGGAACGTTTAACTAAGAAGTGTTACTCACTACTTTTGTATCTTCATTATCTTAAAATATTATTTTTATAAGGAATAAAATCCAAAATCCTTTTTGCGTTATGTTAAATGCAAAGGTTTATTTTGTTTATCAAGCTTGCTACTATTTTTGATTGCACATGTATATTGTTATTTGTCGTTAATACGTCATGTATTGTGTTAGCTAGTATAACAGTGTTTCTTTTTTTTTCGTTTATGATTTGCCGAAAAATTTGCGGATAGGGTTTGTAGATATTTTTTAACCTTGAAAACACATATTTTTTTTTAAATTGCGTGGATTACAAATAATGTACCGAAAACTTCATATTCAGTTGGGATATTGCAAGTTTTTAATTGATAATTTTATTTTATCCTTAAGTCTTAAATCATAAAAAAATATTATAGATATGATGTAACGGTACAAAATACTACATTATATTTAAAGTCCGCGCATGCTTCAGAACATAAAAATCGAAAATAGTGCCCAAGGAAGTTCCAAAAAAAAAATTCAAAAGAAAAATATATGGCTAAATTAGATAATTGATTCTGCCCATATAAGAACTGTAATACATGTGTAATTTCGATTACTGAAAATGTTTCTCATATTCAAAGGCATGCCAATTCAGATGCGCACAAATTTTTAGAAAGACACAAAAAATAGATCATTGGTATTGAAAGCTTTACTAGCAACACCAACAAAAAAACAAAATTTGACTAAAATTGCAAGAAAATAGAAATTGCCTAACACTAACGTTTTTATGATTATTATATACAAGTACGAATATTTATGGATTGCCATTATAATATAGTAAATATTAAATAGATGAATAAAGTGGTACTCTCAGTTCTGGTTTGGTACGTTCAGAAAACTTACGGCAGTACTATAAAATTTTTTGAATTTCCATCACTGTGGCAAAATAACAAACACAAACCCAATTATAGAAAACTATGTATAGTGTTTGTGTAGTTGTGCCTATATGCAATATAAATGTACAAAATAAGAAAAAAAACAACATGTATGTATAGTAAAAACTTTTACCTTGTCAAGTTAAGAAAAAAATAAGTATATTTTGTGTATATAAGTATATTTTTTGACGTTTGCGTACTCTCAAAGTTAGCTAGCTCGGTTTTTATATTAAAATCCTATTCATTATAAATATAAAAATATTTAAAATTATCAAAATTTTAATTAAATTTATTTATTCTTTCATATTTATGTAATATTATAACAAGTTTATAAATATGTATTACATATAAAATATTCATCGTATAAAAATAAATATTCGTTTATAATATAAGAAAGCAGCTTGTTAAAAGTTGATATACATAAGTGTACTATGATTATTGTGCATAATATGTATAAGTCTAACAAAATTAAATTGAATTAAATGTACATACAATTATAATTGTGGTAAAAATATAAAAGAAATATTAAAAAATTATTTAACAAAAAAAAAACTAAATTTATTGCAAAAAAAAAAGTCCAAAAATTTTTTTGACAAAATGAAATTTTCTTAATTTTTATGTTTTTTGACAAATTTTGTGTGTGTTTTTTTTGTTGTTTTGCTTTTGTGCATTATAGTTTATAAACATAATATGGTTATTTTGTAGCAACATTTTTATCACTCAAAAAGAAAAACTAAAATAATTATTATGTGTAACTATAGATTTTTGTGTATCATCTTTAGCTTATTCTGAAAATTTAATATTGAATGGAAATAATGTGAAAATTCTTAAAAGAATTTACAATTTTCATCAGAGATGTAGTAAATGTCAAAATTCTATCCAAAATGCATACAAATATTTTTAGCTGCACAAACTACAATATTTATTGTCATTACTGTAAAAGAATGCTACTTACTGTCAAAATATTTTTGTATAATACCATTCTGTTTATATTTTATAGTGCATACAGAAGACAATTTTCGTTATTACATAAGTAAGCTACTCGATTGAAAATGTGAATTTTTCGCCTTTTTTTTGAACACATTAAATTCGTTTTACTGGCAAAACTATGAAAGAAAGAGGAAAATGTTATATTTGTTGACTTTTATAATCATATCAGATGATTGCTTTGTACAAGTATTTTAGTATAGCAAAGTAAAGAATATTTAGCCAACGAACGTGATTATCAGTAACTAAAACTAACCCATCATCATTTATAAATGGAAACGGAAGAGAAAGGAAAAAATAATAGTAGTATTAATTCAATATTAATATAATAAGTAAATTAAAATTACTTTAAACTACTGTAAGACAAGCTAATAGAAAGCATCACATAAACTAGGAGTAAATTAAAAAAAAACTCAATGCTACTGTAGTCTGGCCTTTAGCATCCTCTCCTCTTTATGTTCGCACAAAAAACATGCGAATACTGGTTAATATTGCACAATATATGCATCCCCTAATAGTCCGTACTATGACGCGGTAAAATTAAAAAGCTTCACTGACCTTAAGTTACTGGGATTCTCCCGGTAAGAAATTCGATCCAATAAAACTGCAACATGACAATCGCGTTACCCGAAATAAGATTAACTTTTAGATCTCATTGTAGCGAATAATTGTAAATAAAAAAAAAAAAGAAAACATAAATTTTAAACAAAAAAGAACAAAAATTTTGATTTTGGCAAGTATTATTTCGAAGACTATGGTTCAAATAAAATTGATTGTAAGAAAATAAAAAACAAAAAATGTACTGTAAAAAGAAAAGATATACACTTTTTTTTTTTAAACAGCCTGTAGCTCGAAAACGAGTTATATTTGCACCCTCTTTTAATTCTCTAATACTAAGCTCTTTAAATTTTATGTTTGAAATTGATCCGAGAATCACCCCTGAAATTATTTACCACCTTATGTGAAACACCCTGTATGTACATGTTGATGAGTGTTTTCTGTAAAATGTTGCAAAATAAAATTTTCGATCATATTTTTATTTATAAATTTATGTTGATAAATAAAATTTAATATTATTGATAGTGTAGTGGTGTGGTGAGTTACTTGTTTTTGTATATACATACATTTTAAATACAAATGCACACATTCTATTTGTTTTTTATATTACTAATTTTTTTTTGTTTTTGTTTATTTTTCTGCAACTAGATATTTATTATAATGTTTTGCTTATAAGCAAAAAAAAAATCAAATAAAATGTTGAGGAAAACAAATAAACATGTAAAAAAAAAGTAGTGAATTAAACATTGTTGATTTTTTGGTTTTCAATTTTTCCCCCCCAATAAAATATATTTAAAAGTGGCAAAATATTTTAAAATAAAAAAAATTTAATATTAAAATAGAAACTTAACAAGTTTTTGAATAATAAAATCCAAAAAAAATAAATATTGATATAAGTAGAAGAGTGGTAAATTCAAAATATTAAAAATAATAAATACACAAAAAAAAAGGGAAACACAAA